AGAGAGCAGTTTTTGACATGATCTGCCATTTTGACCATATCAGACTGATCAAAACAGGAGTAAATGATTGTGTCATCAGCGTAGATACCAACTTGAGAACTGATGTCATCAGGAAAGTTGTTAATGAAAATTAAAAACAAAGTAGGGTAGACTCGTTGGGGACACATGCATTAATACAAAAGAATCCAGAAAGAGTTCAGGATAACTTTTCAAAATTTGATAAGAAAAACTGGATCAGTTAAAAAAAAAAATTGCCCTGGACACCATAACTTTTCAACTTGTGAAGAAAACCTGTATGCCAAACCTTGTCAAAAGCTTTTGAGATGTCTAAAGCAACAGCTCTAGCATCACCATTCTTATCTAGAGCTTGATAGACTCTTTCAACAGTTATCAGCAGTTGACCTAGAGAAATGAAAACCATATTGCTTGTTAAATTGATAAAAGAATTTCCTAATTGTTCTTCCTCCTGTCATATAATCTATACTTTCAAAAGATAAAAATATTTTTTCTGCCTGAATTTTTAGGATATATATACATTTGGACTATTGTCCTGTGCAGACTGCCCATGTCTAGGGATATCTTGTTTTGTTCTTAGTACTGCTCAGTTATTGCTTTCCCATTGTCCACTGAGTCCAGTTACACACTTTCCAACCCAAGGACTGAACTCACAATCACTATATCACCAAATTCATGAACCAACGCTTTAATCCACTACACCATTGTCCCCTATTTCGACTCGTTGGGAACAGGGCATAATTTTCTCTTGGTGTGTTTTATTAATTAAATGACTTTGTTTAATGCTACTCTGTTGCTATATCCATGGCAAATGTTCAAATGAACTCTACTCTTTAATTCCACAACTTTAGACATTTACTGCTAGGATAGATCATCATCTTCCACGGAATTGAATCATCCTCATTTTCTTCATGCTACGAATATAAAGAGTAAATTCCACTTAACTTTTTCATGAGAACTGCTACTTTGTGGAACGAAATTCCATGTGGATGTTTCCCTGAACACTACTATCTTAACCCCATTAAGATTTCCTTCATCTGAACTTTTATCCTATGCTTATTCCTTTATCATAGTCCTCCAGAATAAATTTTATTAAGGTTTTTATTTTATTTTTTTTAAATCTTTAACATTTTTGTTTGTTCAGTTTCCACTGTTTCTGACTCATTTTTTTATATATATATATATATATATATAAGATGTGAAATATTATGACATTTTCTTTCCCTTTTAAAAAATTTCAATTTTTAAATCTGAAAGCTGTTTTCACTGATTACAGATTAAATTATTACCTTTTTAAACAAATTTTCTGTGTGTTTTTCAGCATTTTTTAATTTCTATCTTTTAAAATGTGTTCATTTTTTTTTTTTTTTTTCTGCCTTAAACAATCTGAAAACTGCACTTAACAATTTGTCTATGTCTTAATGGATGAAGCATCATAGGAATGTTTTGGGGGCATGTTTTTCTCTTTTAACCCTTTGATGCTCAACATGCTCTCAAACCCACACCATAAATATTGGCTCTCAAAGTCTCACTCTTTGCATTATTTATGATGATGTCGTATTTTATGGTATACATGGGGCAGGTTACATCTGTTTGAACATTGAGCGTCAATATTTACAGGGTGGGTTGAATGCTGAATGGTTAAAGAAATGTAGAAATAATTACATTTTCCTTTTCAAACTCTCAATTTATTAATATAACTCTACCGACCAATAGGATAAGTATGTGATGGCAATTTGAAAAGTAGTGATGTTTCTAAAATGTTCATATATATTTTTTTTAATTTTCTTTTTTATAAATTTTCATAATTTGCTTATTTTAAGCTTCTTAAAAAGGCCAACATTAAAACTTTTTTTGCTCATGCTGTTTTAGAGTTTTGCACATGGACTAAATTTGTAGATATCCTTTTTAAATTTAAATCTTGGTTAAAAGGTGGAAGTTACTTTTCATACAAATTGCTTGAAAATCATGACTTCATAATTTGAGGGTGAAGGTTATTTTGGTCCAACTTTTCTAGATTTTTCAAAAGTAAACAAAATTTACATATCCAGTTTATGTGAAGAAGCCAAGAATAGGTATTTTCAAACTTATTTTCCATTTAATTTTTCAGTGAATAAAGAAATTTAAAAAAAAAAAAAAATATATTTAGGATTGGCTCAAATTCTAAATTATTTTATAGTTTAAAATTTTCCTAACAACAAAGTTGAAAATAGGAAAGGTTTAATTATTTAAGAGCTCTGCTAATATCATTTAAGTTAAATGTATTGTTTGTTAAGTTTTATAAATGAAAAATGGATATTTACAAAAAGGCCCAATAAGATTACATTAATAGCCAAAGATTGAGTTCAGTTAATGTATTTTTTATTTCCTAACTTTTATGTATTTTTGTAAATTATATATAATTTTATTTATTTATTTTATAAGTCACTTATTTTCATTTTCAATAAATGGTCAAATAATTCAATTTTGTATATTTTATTGGGGATAGCATCTAAATTTGTCATTTTGTTAACTAAAAAGAAATATTTAGAAATAATTTGAATAGATAAGATAAAAACATTTGGTTTTATAAATACATACTGTGTTTATCAAAGATTTATTTTTTTAATATATCATCTTATTATAATTTTGGTTATCCCTCCCTTAGTTACTTAGCATGCCTTCTTCAGGTGGTTGGAGATAACTGATAACTGAACAATACCTTATAAATAATAGACTATTGAAGATAACTCGGAGCATCCATGCTGTGGACAAATTTTGATCCCAGGGAAAGACAGGAAAAAAGACATATATATCTTATTATATAGAGACACTGTTTAGATTCAGTGGGAAAGACAGAAAAGACATATAAGAGGGGATTCAGTTTGACAATGGGGGCACTTTGCCAATACTTCATAAATAATGGACTGTTCACATTTTAATTGTGAGGAAAAATGGAAAAGACATATCAGAGATGCTGTTTGATTTCAGTGAGGAAAAGAAAGCCAAATTAAAGCTGCAAATTTTTCATGGGTACTACTAGTGTTTTTTTTTTTTTTTTTGTAACAATTACTTTTTATCATGATCTAAGGGTACTTAATCGATAGTAATATGAGGCTTTTTTTTTTCTTCTTCAAGTGTGTCTAAAAAGATAAATTAAAATGTTGGTTTGTTTTGGTTCCATGGTGAGGAATCTCTTTATGATGAATTTCTATTTCACCAATTTTAACTCCTGAACTATTCAACCAAAATCAATCTTTTGCACAACTTTGGGGCATGAATTAACATAATTAATCCAGTTATTTTGTGAATAAAAACTTTGTTCCTACGTCACCCTACTTCTTCATATATACGATCTGCATCATTTGTTTGTATACTAGAAATATTGTATATAACAAAGTAATGTGATACCAATTACTTGGCTCTATAGCCACATTAGGGGAACAGTCAAGCTTGCTTAGTTCTGCATTTGCAGAGTCTTCCATAAACTCTGTTCTTGTGCCACGGTCTATCTCTGTATTCTAAGCAAAGCATACTATTGGTGTAACTTTTACCATTCGTTTTAAATATTTGCAAACCTATTAAGAATTCCATTCTTTTGCTTATGTTTTCATGTGACCTAAGCATGTGTACATATGAGCCAACATTAACAAACATATATTTGTGAGCAACTTTATTGCATTTCATGTTTCTATCATGTATGAAGGCATATCATTTCTTTGGCCTCACTCACATTCTAAAAATCATTGTAAGTTGTTAAAATCTTTATACGAACATTGATAATGCAATAATCTCTGTAATAAAACTAGATACATCACCAAAAAAAACATTTTAACTTTTCTTCTATGTGCTGTCTCCCTTTAGGACATAGGCAATCATGATCCTCCACATCTTCCTGTCCCTTGTAGCTTTTAATAAGTTTTGTCTTTTTTTTTATTTCTCCCAAACCCCGTACTGCCATCCATTTACTCAAGCTCAACAAGTATTTTATGTGCTGCTTTCCTCTTTCCCTCAATCTATCCTGTGAGTATCAGATTTAACAAGTCCTCCTTTCTCATTATGTGCCTCAGAATTTTTAACTGCCTCTTCCTGATGTTAAGTATAAATTTCCCTTTTGTTTCCAGTCTCTCCAAAACCTGGTTGTTGCTTACATGCTCAATCCATGATATCCTCAACATCATGGTCATGTGTTGAAAAGTGCAGCATTACAAAATTTATTAGTAAATCCATGTAATTTACATGAGTCCTGCTAATAAATTAATATCCTGTAAACATTTCTATGATTCTTTGAATGATATTATAAAACCCCAATATATATATTTTGGATGTTTTTATTTTAAACTATTATTTGGTTTCTCAAAGATTTTTATGCATTACCATTTTGTCTTCCAGTTCTTCTCAATCATTGATTGTTGTGATTTTGGACTTAGTGTGAATTTGGTTAAAGAGTTTAATATTTATGAGAGAAGAAATTTTAGCAATTTTATAAAATTGTGTATTAATGTAATGAAAATACTACCGTGTAATAGCGATAGGCTCAGTAACTACTGTCAGATGTGACCATTATTGGAATCAACAACAGTGTTTTCACTTATCCACATTTGGCCCAGCCCGTAGAACAATTTTGTTCTAAACATTTTATTAAACTAAAACTACTTTGCAAAATAGGTATTTTATTCCTTTTAAATCTGTTTTTCTATTATAGATTTCAAGGCCCAACTTTAAATGATTTAATTATTGTTTTTGAGATATTTGATTATTAATTTTATTCAAAATGTTACTGCTGTTGTTATTGTTGTTGTTAAAATGACTTCTATAAATTTCATTACTTGTTTCCTTACAAGCAAATTCAGATTATTTAAATTTTCAGAAGACTTTTTTTTTTTTTTTTTTTACCTAATTTGAAAAAGAAATCTGTATTTATTTCTTTAAATGTTTATTTATTTCTTTAAATGTTTATTTATTTCTTTAAATGTTTATTAATTGTTATTTTCTTTCTTTTTCAGAGTTAAGTCCATTGAAAGTCTGTGGATCTTTGTTTACAAAGAGTTGTTGTCATGGAAACCAGCATGGATGGCCCATCTGTGTGCAATACCCCTCCAGTAAGCCATTTGACTGACCAACTTGGTCAGGATGATTACCTGGACACTCTGATAGCTGCTGTCACCCATGGCAGCAAAGAGCAACTAGAGAATCCAGAAGAGGAGGAGGAGGAGGAAGAAATGGAACAAGAAAGTGAAATGAAGGAGGATCTAGATAAAGCTGATAAAGATGAAAAGGAGGACGACGAGGAAGAGAAAAGCCTGAAAGAGCAACAAGAAGAGGAAGAAAGAGAAGAGGAAAATGAGGGTCAGCAACAGAGAGATGAAGAGGAGAGGGATGATGAACAAAATATGGAGTCTGAGAAAGAAGCTGATGTTCGGATGCCTTCCTATAAAGAGGAACCTGAAGACAAACAGATTAAAGAAGAGGATGATGAAGACATGGCCGCAGAGAAAAAGTGGAAAAAGAAACGCAAATATAAGAAAAGAAAAGAGAAAGATGAGGAGGAGGAGTCCAATTCTGAAGAAGAGGAGGGTGCAGATTCAAAACGTATAAAGACTGAAGATGAGAAACTAACTGGGGACTTTGGCAAAGGGACAAGCACTTCAAACAGCGTTAAAAGCAGCGCAAAAGGAGCCACAAAGAAGAAGAAAATAAAGAAAGAGACTGGTTTTGAAAGTGGCGACGAGGCAAGTTCGGACAATTGCTTAAATTCCGATTCTGACTCTGATAGTGCTGATAGCAGTAGCAATTCCAGCAGTAGTTCTGATTCCAGCTCTGACATAGAAGATGGAGATGATGACAGTTCTGACTCTTCTGGGGAGAATGAAGACGATGATGATGCTAATGATGATGACGATGATAACAAAGTCAGCAAAGAGGGTGATGAGAAAGAAACAAAAACAAAGAGTAAGAGCAAGACAAAGGAGAAGGGCGTTAGTCGCAAAAAGAAGAAAGACAAGGATAGCGAGAGCGGTGATGATAAGCTGAAAGACTCAGCAAAGAAACGCAAGTTAGCCCTCAAGCGACAACGAAAGAAAGAAAAAGAGAAAAAGAGGCGAAATATCAGGTAGAGTATTTTTATACTTTTCAAAATTTAAAAAAAAAAAGACAAAAAGTTAGTTGTACCATGAACTTTATTTTAGACTGAATTTTTGAAATTGTATTTTATAAATTTCTGCTGTCAAAATGTTCTTTCTCACAAAACTACATTTACCATCTTGTTTTAAAAATAATTTTTAGGACTGTTCAAGATAGAAACATCAAAAAAAAAAAAACCTTTAATATATTTGCAAAACACAATATTATATGTATAGTGAGGAAAATTCTGTCAATTAGAAAAAAAATTACTGCTGCACAATTTATGTGATCCCCATAATAGTTTTTAAAAAAAAAAAAAAATAATGATCCTTATAATAGATTATTACAAAAAAATAATACATTAGTGATCCCCATAAGACTTAAAAAAAAAAATACAATTTATGTGATCCAATAATAGATTAAAAAGCAATTGTAACCCCTTTTAATAGATTTAAGATCATTGTGATTCACTTAGATTTAAAAAAAAAAAAAAAAAATGAACAATCATGTAATCTTTAATAGGTAAAAAAAGAAAAAAATTGTGATCCCTTAATTTCAAAACATTTGATAACAAAAAAAGAGAAATTATCTAAAAGATTTCATTTCTCATATTTGTTTGAAAAAAAAAAAAAAAAAGTGTTATTTTTGGAAAAAATGTGATTATTTGTTAAAAAATATTATCTTTACAATAATAATGGCTGGCTGCTCATTTCCAAGTATGCTTGTCTACTAGTTAATCCCTGTTGCAGTCGCCTGCTCAGGCATACACAGCCAACCTGTGGTTTATACTACAACTGTGTTGAGCAGGCCTTAGTTGCAGTTTTTAGGAGAGTGCACAAAATTTGAAGTTATCAGAAGTTGAACAAGGTCAGTGTGCTTGAATCTTGAGTTACAATGGCTTGTGTCTTTGTGCTTGTACACTCATCAACGGCTTCCATACAGTTTTGTCTACCCAATTTTATTTACAAACTTTAGTCAACACATAGAATGATTTTCAGGCACTTCCTGACAGTGCTGCATGCTGGGGTCATCTTTGCAGGCAGATATTAATTCAGTCATATCCATCAAATTGACCCTCATGAGATTATAAGTATCATAGGTTTTGGGACTGGTTAGTCCAGAAACACCATCACATATCTGACTGCTCTGTTAGTGTAAATAGCATGATTGTATCCATCACCAGTTTATTACTAGGTACTATGTCTATTGCGTAACTTAAACTACCTTTGTTTTTGTTTTTTTTCAACCGAGTACTGACCATGCTCAATGTTGCTTAACTCTGGTGATCAAATGAAAACTGACATTTCAACATGGTAATGGCTGTAACAAATTATATTCTTTAAAAATTGTGTATGTATATTTATTGGTGTTAAATATTTGAGAAGACATTTTTGCAATATGCATTTGATAAAATAACTTCTTTATGAAATACATCATTTGGTGCTTGAAGGGAAAAAATGTCTCTTCTTGGATTGGCAAACCTGTTTACAATGGTTTTAGTATGTCTTTAAATGAACAGAGAAGACTGCCTTTGAAAATTCAGTCTACTCACTTATCAATTATTCTGCCATTTTCACACCTAATTCTTGTATTTCTTAGCAGTTGTTCTGAAGGAGTGTGGAAAATGCAAGACAACTCCAAAAATGACCGTGTAAAAGATTTGCCATGTCTAAACTTTCAACTTACCTGAGTCATGATCAGGGGTGTGTAGATAGTGAATTTACGACTCTTGTAAATAATAAGTAAAATAAACGCTACATTTAATGGGTCATATTTCAAATTGGGTTAAATAAATCCAAAGGAAGTCTTTTCTGTTATGTGTTTCAATAACATGCATCAATCTTGTGTAATGAGTTTTTTCCCCCCATTGGAGAAATTGGGTTGGAGATAATTGATTTTGGAAATTTCATACATTTGCAGCAACTATTTTTGTGAAAGATCATTTGCAATTTAGAAAAAAAAAAAATTAAAAAGTTAAGTCAGTACTTAGATGGGGGACTGTTTAGGAACACCAGGTGCTGTAAGCTACCTCCTACAATTCAAAATATGTTTTGGCTTTAAACAACCCACAAAAGGTTGATAAGGTGTTTTTTTGTTAAATCAACAACAAACTATACTTTTCAACAAAGCACACACACATACACACACAATTAAAGACATAAAGAAAAACTTATAATAGCTGATGTGTTTCGTCCTTTGATAGACTTTATCAAGGCAAATGTGTTTTGCTAAACTCCATCAGGGGATGAAAGGTGTTGGCCAAGATAAGTTTTCCTTTTCTCTATTGTCCTTTTACAGATATATATTTTAATTACATCTAAAATGTTATGCACACACACACACACACACACACACACACACACACTCACAATTGTGTTTGGGCAGCAATCCCTCTTCTATACAAGTTTCGTTAAAAATGATCGACAGTACTGCAGTTGAGTTTTTTTTTTAATTTTTCAGATCAATTTTACGTGATGATCAACTGGAGGCTGAAACTTTAGCTGCCCAGAATGAAGAAATGGAGAGACAGCGTCGTTTGCAAGAGTTAAAAAAGCAAATGCAACAGAAAGTTGTTGTAAAACCTGAAGAGAAAGACTCACAATTAAAATCGTTGCTGCAAGGTGATTGTCCGTCCGATGCTTTTTATTTAGGATCTGACCAAATTGGTATGATACCTTCTTTATATCATATTACTTGTATTTTTTGCTTCTAGTCAGTATATTTTCATAAATTATCTTTCATGCTTTGAGAAAAGGTAACTGCTATTCTCTGTATATCATGGCTTGATAATATGTGCTCCAGTCAACATTCAACAGTAAGCAATATTTTATTTAAAATTCTATGTGATTGATTTTAATGAAAATTTCCAGATGTAATCATCTCTGCCAAACTATTTCCAAAATTTGGAAAAATTTTATAATTTTACTAAGTAATTAAATAATTTACATAAAAAATTGAATTTTTAATAAAAATAAAAATAAGCTCTCTTTGTAAAATGCCTGACTAATGTTGTCTATTACAATATCTATGCAAACTGTTGTTTAGATCAATAATTTTTTACATTTGTATTACATTGTTTTTTGTGGGGGGGATGGGGTGCATTTGTTTTATTTTTTTTCTCTCTATGAATCCTCCATTTTGGACATTAAGGATGTTAAGTAAGATTCTTATATTTCTAAAACCAACCAATAATTTTAAGAATAAATTTTTATCTTGAAATGCTGAATAAGAAATGGTCGTCTATTCAATTTTGTAAAATTGTCAATAATTGATTGTAATTGATATTTAATAAAATGTTGTTTATTAAAACAGATTCACTTTTCGGAACAGAGTATTGTAACTAATGTGATAATATTAAAATGTTAACAAAGTAGCTTGTAACAAAACCATCTGCATGCACACGGAGATAGACACTGAAAAGTTCTTATCTTGGCTCTCTTGCCAAAATCAAAACAAACATCAGATAATTTTTTAAAAATCCTTTCTTTATTGGGATTAGAACTTTTCATCACCCTTTTGTGTGTGTGTGTGTGTGTGTGTGTGTACACTCATAGCCACACTGAACATGATTCAAGAATATGTCAGATTATTATTTTGGGTAACCTGACTATGTTGTTGGTTTTGTAAAAATAATATTTTCCATAATTTGGAATATCTAATTATCAAAATGTCACTGATCACAAAGAGATCTTTATAAATTTTCATTGATCTTGAATTGGTGTTTATAATTTATTTGTCTAATTAACTGTGATGAACAAGTTAATTTAATCAATGTTGTACATTTATAAATTTTTGGGGACAATTTGTGTTTGATTTAACTTTCCTTTATTTGTATTCTTAACTTTGCTATTCTCTGTGAATAAAAGGAAAATTCCATCTTTCTATAGTTGGAAGTTTTGTAATAAACCCAGAAAAGTATCATTTCTGACTATTACTATTATTATGACACCAACTGGATAGATTTGTTGGCATTTAAATGAACATATAAATAAAATAATTTTAATTTGAGCATGATTAATTAAAATTGTGTTGTAAAATGAAATTTTTGTTAGGAATTTAAAACATTTGGTGTATTTCACATTGATTGTACATATTATTCATGATTTCACAACAGTTTGTATTTTCTTGTAACTTTGTCAATTTTTTTTTTTTTTTCATCTACTTCTCTTGCTTAACTTAATAAGTCCTATGTTTGTAAATATAACAGCAACAATAAAAGTAGTCATCGTGGATTTGCTGGAAGTAGAATAGTCCATACCATTTAATAATCTATATATCCATTTTTCAGCTGCTGAAGACACTGCCAAGCAGTATGCTAAGGATGATGTCATCCTACTTGACAGTGGTGATGAAAACAAGAAAAAAGGTAAATTTTATTAGTTATTCATTTGTCATGTAAATGAGATATTTAAATGTAACAAGATAAATATTCACATTTTATTTATATACACACACACACACACACACACACACACACACACACACACACACATAAAATTAATCTTTTTCTTTTTTTTTTTTTAAACAACATTTAGTTTTGACAGATATTATTGAACTTAGTGATGATGATGATGTGGTGATGATAAAAAGTGATGAAGAGCCAGAAGAGGAGGAGGAGGAAGAAGAGGAAGAAGACATGGACAATGTTGGTACGCATATCAATGACTCTATGAACCAGAAAGATGAACAAGGACGAGTCCTTATCAATATTGGCCACCCTGAAGGTGATCCTGATGTATTCTTAGCATCACAAATTGCTGAAGTGATCAAACCACATCAGGTAACAATGAATGCTTTCCATTATTATTATTATTTATTTACTTTTTATAATGCTATATTCCTTAAGGAATCATAGCTCTCCACAAGTTCCTTTTTCTTGTCTGTAAATTGCCATGACTTTTTGGGAAAGATAGTGGAGTGGTTTCCTTTTTCCTTCTCCAATATTTTGCATTCAGAATTTTCCTTCTCTTAGAGTAGTTGCCACCCAAAGCCTAGGAAGACCAATCTGCCCTACTATTTAACCCATGGCTGTAGGCAGGAGAGATGGATTCCTATCTTTCCAAAGGCATTTGACCAAAATTGAACAACAATCTGCGTTGAAATTTGAACTCTGCTCACTCAGGCCATATTCTGTGCTGATAACTGTTACACTATCCACATGTCCTATGCTTTCTATTACTAATATATATATATATATATTATATATAATTAGCTTTCCACATAATGTAATAGATATATTATATTTTGATGTAAGGTAATATGTATATTCATTGATATATACTTTATAATTTTGTATTACCCCATTGAACTCTTTTTCATTAACACAAAAAAATTAAAATATTTGTGAATTTTTATATGTGCATGATTGCACACATATATGGTTGCTTGTATCTATATTTAATTCATAGTTTATATATATATATATAAACACTTAAAAAATATTTTTATTGATAAGGATTGTAGTTTCACTGTCTTAAATTTGATTTGCATTAAAATTTTTCATTTTTATTCCATTTTTAACTTGATTTTATTTGACTTTACAATTTATGAAAATTTATTGAATAATAATTCTATTGTTTTCCATTATTGAAACCTTATCTTGCTTAAACTCATCTAAACCTATTTTATTCTTTTCTTAGATTGGTGGAGTAAGGTTCTTATATGACAACGTCATAGAATCTCAGAGCCGTTTCAAAACTAGCAGCGGATTTGGATGCATTTTAGCACACAGTATGGGTCTAGGCAAAACTATCCAACTGATTGGTTTCATTGATATTTTTTTGCGCTTTACTGAAGCTCGCTCTGTCTTATGTATTGTACCAATCAACACCTTACAAAACTGGTTAGCTGAATTTAATATGTGGTTACCGGAAAAGCCACCAGAGGATACAGAAGACGATGATGATGATGAGAATATGATGTTCCGAAATTTTAGACTGTTCGTAATCAATGACAATCATAAAACAACATTAGCCAGGGCAAAAATTCTTGGTAGGTGTCTACCTTTTCATTTAAACTTGACAAATGTTTGATAGATGAATGCTTTTTAACTACTCTTAACTCTCATTATTTTTAACGTACTTCTGAGTTAAAATAAACTTTTAATTGAAAAGATTGGCAGGTGTAACCAAGTTCTTCAGTCCACCAAACAAAAACAAAGAATGAGTTGTATAATAATAATAATTTCAATTCATATTGTTGACTAAGTGAAAATACATTTATAGTGATCTTGTTAATATATAGCCCCAAATTTTTTTATTTGAGATTTATTGTTTTAAAAACATACATGAAAAGTTGATTAAAGTAGAAAACGGTAACAAAAGCAAGAATAATCAGTTTTTTCATAATATCTTTTTCTTCTTCCTTTTCTTCTAAAAAGTTAAGAACTAATCAATAAAGTAAAATCCAGCTTTACAACAATTTTCTGGATTTTCTCGGTTTAAAATTTTCTTTCTTTATTTCAGAACTAATGTCTTACAAATTAATGTATTATGACAGCCAAGATTTTTACTTTTAAGTTTCAATATTTTGAAGAGAATTAGAAAATATTTCCTTTTGAAATGTTTGCTGAATTGATATTTTTCCTATGAAAAGTTTGTTTTTACAAGGACTTCATTAACCAACAGAAGAAAAAAAAAAGTTTTTTTTTTTTTTAACTTGAAAATTAGTTTTCTCTTTTCACAAAGAGTATGCAGTACTATGCTCTATTCAATGTAGCAAATAATGATGTTTCTTTTTCTTATCCTAGATGAGTGGAGTCGTGTTGGTGGTGTTCTTCTAATGGGTTATGAAATGTATCGACTTTTGGTGACCAAAAAATGTACTTTTGCCCCATCACGGAGAAGAAAGAAAAATACTGAACCTATTGTTATAGACATTGAAGAGGAAGATATGAACAAAAAATTGCATTTAGGTAAATAGCTATCATACCCTACTTTTTCTCTTTGTTATTATTTCAAAGCCATATATTTCCTATATAATAATTATATGCAAATTGGATTCTTCTTGTTCAATTTCAAGGTATTACCTGGCTGAACATTGTTTTAGCAGCATTTTGAGTTTCATGACTATTATTTAAAATCTATATAGTTTATTCACTTAATACATTGACTGCTAACCGTGAGTTCTCTGTTGGTGGGCAGTTTTTATTATGACACAAACTTGTGCTTGACATTTTCTCATACATTTTCATCTACAGGTGTCAATAACAAGTTTATTTCTGAGTGCAGAAACAATGTTAAGATTTCAGTTGAAGCTATAAATCAACTCCTAAAATATTTTATTGCCTAAGTTGACTATTATAAAGTTGGTGTTTGAAGTCAGATTTTATAATTGACCTCTAGCAGTCAACATGTTTAAAAAAAAAAAAACAAGAAATATCAATGGTTTTCATGCTGTTTAAAGAGACATAATGGTTTTAAAAGCATTGTTTTATAAACCAGATTATATATACTTGCACAGATGAGCGAGGCTTGTTTGCTTGCAATGAACCATCATTTTATTAATTTTGTTTTTCATTTATTTTTAATATCTAGTTCCATTTTATTGCGTTTACTAAAGAATACATTGCTACTGAAGTGCTACCAAAGATTTAATGATTAGTTTGCAAATATTTTTGACATATTTACATTATAAGTCTAACATTTTTTAAATTGCTTTTTACAGGAATTCAAAAAGCGCTGGTTAATCCTGGCCCTGATTTGATTGTCTGTGACGAGGGTCATCGAATTAAAAACAGTCTTTCTGGAGTGGCACAATCTTTGAAGAATATCAGAACCAAGTAATTACATTTTCTTGCAATCAATATGTCTTTTCTTTCTTTCTTTCTTTTTTTTTTTTTTCTATTTTCATTTTCTTTCTCTTCAATAACACTTTTATATATTGTAATTTACTGTGTTGGATTTCAAAAATTATTTTATGGTACTTGTAATATATCTCATTATTTTGAAATATTAAATACTCTTAAGAGAAAGATACATTTGGGTTTTTTTTTTGGTTTTTTTTTCCCATAAATCTTTAGATTTAATTCTGAAAAAAAATTAAAATTCTGATTTTAATGATAATTTTTGCAGAAGAAGAGTTGTCTTGACAGGCTACCCACTCCAAAATAATCTTCTTGAATATTGGTGCATGGTAGACTTTGTTCGACCCAACTACCTTGGTACAAAAGCAGAATTCTGCAACATGTTTGAACGTCCTATAATGAATGGGCAGTGTGTTGACAGTACACGGGAAGATGTCACATTAATGAGATACCGAGCGCATGTCTTGCACAGTTTGTTGCAGGGATTCATACAAAGGTAAGAAAAAACTAAAACTTATTTTTGTTGTCTTGTTACCATTGCTTAAATATATTTTTTACTAAACTTTCACCCAATACAAGGCACAAAAGCAACTCAAGGTAGAAGATTACTGACTGTGGTTGTTGCATGAATGTAAGAGGAGGAGTTAAAAAAAAAAAGAGTACTTCATGAAGACATGTTGGAAAGAGAACAGTTGACCCTAGACTTGATGAGATTAGGATTGTAGTGATTGTAGCATCCCCACAGGTGTCTTTTTCACAAAGTAATGGCTCTCAGGAAGAAGCTGTCTGAATGGAGCTTAATAATAGGAATGAAGATTTGTCCCTGTGTACGTGGCATGTCGGGTCTTAGCTGTGAATGTTTGAACTGGTGGAGCTAATTAATGTAGCTTGATAGAACATTTGGCATGGAAATAGTAGTAGAATATTTGTGATATTTTGTCTGTGGGATAGCAGCTTTAGAGTAGAAAATACTCACCTATAAGGTTACATAGACACTTCTAAACTCTATTAAGGCTGGAAAATGAGTATTTGGCAGCAGCACTCCATTTTAGTTCAAATCTGGCTCTTGTAAAGACAGAGCATACCAGGAGGAGTTGAGTACTTTTGGGAGAAGTACAAAGATCTGACACCCTTTTTCCAGCATCTTTAGTGATGAATCATATATATGTGTTTGATGACTTAACAAGGCATATTCATATATCTGAAAATTAACTTTGGGAAGTTTCTAGACAAACCTTGTTTCTAAGTATACCTTGTTAAAATTTAAGTCAAGAATTATTGGATGTAATTTTTCATGTCCTATAATAATGTTGGCGTAATCCACTTTACTCCTTACTCTTAGTCTTGCCAATTTTGTTACACCATCACCCCCACCCTCGAAATATATTTCACTCATGATTATTTTTCTAATGGAATTCTTTTAATTCATGTACATGTTGCCAAAGAAAGAAAAGATCATTAAAAATAAAGACGTTGCAGGTTTCTTCTAGAAAAACTAAGAAATAATTTCACTATTAAGAATTCATACATACATACATAGCCATGTTTTTTGTTTAGGCAGGTCCAGGATTAATCTCATGTAAAGCAAGGGGGGTTCTACCTGACAAAGATTTGCCACAATGATTTGAGGCGAGGTTTTACTCTGATTGGGAGAATGTAAGTTTTGAGGGGCATGGAACCATCTCTTAATTGCTGCTGTTCTGTGTGTCCATCCTGACATGGGCTGGTAGCTCCTGTTAGGGTTCCAATTATGGGCAAATAGTGACAAAAAAAAAAATGAAATGCTATGAAAGTAGAAAAATACATTTTATAGTAAAAATACCAGCAATTCAATTTTATATTTTAAAAATTATTAACAATACGTTTATCTGTAGTTGAAGACATAAAATTGTTCAAAAGATTTAAATTTTGACATTAAATAACCCATAGAGGTTCATATGCCGCTAAACAAAATCAACCAACAAGGCTTTACAAGACCAGATATTCTTCCTGATGCCGAACTCACACTCACAGTATTTTTGTTTTGGGACATCATCTCTAGGAAGGGTGCCATCCAAGGCTTGTGACTTCACCATACACACACACACACACATATATATATATATATATATATATATATATATATATATATATATATATATCACAGCTGTTTAAAACCCTTGTTTTTGTCATATAGGAAAATCCAACATGGCGCGTAAACGAAATATTTGGCAAAAAATCTCATTCGTTAGTAACATTTTAAACACCTCATAGAATGTAAAGTTCTTAAAGAAAACCTATGCCAAAGTGTTTTCCTGAATCCTTGATGACTTGGCTGTCCGAAAATGGTAATATCAAGATGAAATAATGGAAACTGACCGTGAAAAAAAATACAATTATCGCAACAGGTTTTCGATCAATTAGTAAACTTCTGGACCTTTTAGAGCGACCTTATAGGATCCAGACAGCTATTTTTTGCACATGGAATTATTCACTGGTAATTAATCTTCGATTTGGCTGTGGAAAATGTCACTCGGCGGTTAGCATTAAGAAATTATGCCCAATTTTCTGAGAAAAATCCCCTTTTTTTTTTTATGAAAAAATATTTATTTTCGCTTCAAAATAACATCATTCAAAATTCATTCCTTTCTCTTTCATTTGGCATGAACATCATTGAATAAAAAGAAAGGCTAAATGGACCGGCGATGGGAAATACGAAAGATATGCGGCGAAAAAAAACAATGTCGGCTGCTAAGTGTTGTTGTCATCACCTGGGTCATGGGGTGTTAAAAACAAAACAAAAGTAAACTCATCAAGCCATTGTTCAAACATAGGTTGTATGAAGCCCTAGTAATTGTGAACCCTTTTTTTTTTTTTTTTTTTTCACTCTTTGCTTTTATCTGGGAGTGGTGGGTTTTATTACAACTTGTTCTAAGGTTTGCCGTCCGTTTATTGCTGGCTGGCTGGCTGGCCTTTGACCTAGACGTCAAAGTCAATTAGGTTTATTTTCCCTTATCGCTATTTTTAGGGAAAAAAAAAAACTTTTGGTTTCTGGTGGTTAGGAATTGCAGATAAATCTCTTGCCTTTTACTAAAGATTTCCGTGGCCAGGTGTCAATTTTTTTTTTTTTTGGCAGTCATATAATTGAAAATTAACAATGGATTTTGTCGCATTTTGAACCCCTAGGAATGTTGATTTCCTTCAAAACTCTCAATTTTATGCCTGAAATAGTTTCATTATGATTTAGGCTTTCTGATTTCAAAAAAAAAAAAAAAAAAAAAAAAAAATGATTAATTTCCCATTAATGGGGGAAATATTTGTTTAGAACAAAAAAAAAAATGCAAAATTTTCACTTTTTTTTTCACATTTTACCCACTGAAAAAAAAATTTTGAGTCATTTACACCAGCTAATTTTACTTTTTAAATGAAAGAATATATCTTTTGCTTTCAGAAAATACCTAGTTTCATGGGGTTCAGATTAAAAGTTTCCTTGATATTAGTTTAGGTGATGATAAAACAGTCATTTTTCAATATTTTACCCCTAAAAAAGTATGAAAACCCATATTTTGAGAGAAAATAAGCTGTGACAAAATGACTTTTGCTATTTTTGTGATGATTTTCACTTGGGAAAGAAAATTTTTACCATAGGAAATCTGAATTGACTTTATTTAAGTTCAGTGGGTCTGTAGGAAACATCAAACAGCTGTGATATATGTGTCCTGTTGGGTAACATACCACTCTCCTCACCAACAGAAAAGCTAGTGGCAGAGCTAGTTTAGGTGCCAGTTACTTGTCTATGCAGCAGGTTGTACTGGGTTACATCTCTATCAGTAGCAGGCCATAAAATAATATTAAAAGAAACAGTTCTCTTTGTAATAAAAATATTTTCATTTCTACCTTAGTTTCTTTTCTACATAAACTAAACAAATATTTTCAAGAAAAATATGAAAAAAAAAAGGCTTTAATGTAAATTAAAATATTAGAAATTTTCTGTTATTGTGATATCTTGATTATTTGAAATTTGCATAATTATTTTTTCCACATTAATTTCTAAAATAAAATAAAAAATGTTAATTTAAAAAATATCTACTGCTACATAAGTCACCTGATTTAAGAATGCATTAGTATTAGTTGCTTACGTGTAAGAAAATTCTGTAAAATATTGAGTCAGAATTATGCACAATGGTGTAGTGAGGATTCATATTTTGTCATTATCCAAGTTGTTAAAAGCAATGGCTAGAATTCTTTTTTTATAGCAACTTGACACTTCAATAGATTATTGTATTTGCAACTTTGGTAATTTCTGTTTGAATTAGAAATAACCTTGCTTTCACAACTTGACCATTGAGAGATCAATATTTTAGACAATTGTTTTAAAAAAGATTTTTTTGTATTTTTTATTGCAGAAGAGGACATTCAGTTTTACAGTATAGCTTACCTCCAAAGCAAGAGCATGTATTTAATATTCGCATGTCAGATGTTCAGCGTAAACTCTACAAGAAATTCATGGAATGTATTTCTGATTGTGAAATGGGTATGTGGGCCAGCTACAATCCATTGAAGGCTTTTTCTACATGTTGTAAGGTACGATATGTCAGTTTCTATATTTTATTCTACCCCAAATATGATGTTGGATATAATACAGATAATAATGGTCAAAGTGAGAAAAGAATACAGATTCACTTAACAATTTAAATATAAGTATATTAGTTACCATATCAGTTTAATAAGGACAATTTTATGTTATGTACATAAGATTAAGTCCCCACAAAGAAACTCTAAAATCCTGTGCAGTTTTTGTGTTAAATCTCTAAAAACAAAGAAAAAAGCAGTAAATGCTTCCAAATCAGCAGTTGCAAAATCTGGACAGCTTGGATGCAGTTTGGTAAGAGAATGACCAAACTTTGTACAATTTCAGTTGAGATAATCATTGACTGAATGTATAAACATAAAAATGTCTTAAAATAATTGTCGAACTTTGTCCATTTCATAATGTGTGATGTCATTTGTTTACATTTGGATACGCCATGAGCAGATATGAATGTATGTAAGAGAATCATGGAAGATTGTAGTTTAAAGACAGTAAGATCGACCTTGCTAACCGAACAATCCTCTGTGGCTCAATCGGTTAAGGCACATCAGACTATATGACGGTTCTGTATAGGATACAGGTTCAATTCTATGACAATTTCTCGGAAATTCAGGCTGGTAAATGTTGTTTAATACTGTTTATTATAAACAAAGGATTTACTTAAATATTTGTATCTATAAAAAGACTGTATAAACATAAAAATGTGTTAAAATAATTGTCGGACTTTGTCCATTTCATAATGTGTGATATCAGTATATAAGTGGTAATTTTAATTTACCTCAAGGTTGAGTCCTTAATTCTTCCAAATATGTTTTGAACAACTTACAGTACGATAATTTCAAAATGACAAATCATTTCTCTTACTGTCTCTTTCTTTTCTGTGACTTTGCATTTGTATTTCCTTAAAATCTTACAATATAGTTCTTTCGTAAATAATTAGCTTTTGCAACAGGTTTTAAAATTGAGCTTAAATAGTAAGAAATGCAGCCATTTGCTTGAATTGTTTTTTTTTTTTTTTTTTTTTTTTTTGTTATTGTTTTTGCGACTTTCTGTGATGCCTTCAAAACTAATGGTTTGATGAAAATGATGTGTCAGTGATTTGTCTGACCAGTTTCTGTCAGCAACCCCCAACTGATTACTCTATTTAACCAAAAGGGATCAACCTGTATATCAAATCTGTAGTTTAAGTCAGAAAAAGATCACAAAAAGCAAATTTCCACCTTGAAAATTCTATTTATTGAACAGCATAAACTTTGAATAACCTGGAATTTAGTTTTGAGTTTGTTTGTTTTTTTTCCCCTCTCTCTCAATCTTATCCTTATTAAAAAAAAAAAAAAAAAATATTGATAGCCTTGTGTCTGGTTTTATTATGCAAAGTGCAACATAAGTTTTTATTTATAAATAAACCTAAAAGATACACAGCCAGAGAAATCTATATTTGATTAACACAATATCCTATTGACCTGAATAAGTTATTTTATTTTTACATGTTAATGTGGATTCTTTGAAATCAGTTCAAACATTGATTTTGTTAACTTTTCTATTGTTTTGATTTTCATGTTGCTTGTAACAGTTTTTATCATGGGCAATTATTCCATCCTACTAAAAGACTGTTACTTATTGATGGAATTATATGTAGGGTTGGGGGTCGAAAATATAAGTAAAACATTGGTCATAATTATATAGCAAAAGGAACACTGAAAATATAAAGATGCTATGCTTGTAAGTTTTTAGCACACACACACACACACACACCTAGTATAGTAGGGTCAGATGGGACTGACTGTGGGGGGGGTGAGAAATAGCATGCTGTACTGCTTATGTGTTGGGTGCAGTTGAGCAAGAGACCAACAAAACTCTTTGTAACACCAAAGATGAACTGAAGGCAAGGATTATGGCAGCATTCACCAACTTAAACAAGGAGACTGTCCAGAAAATTTGCAGGAGATTCCAAAATCGTCATGAGGTCATTGTTGAAGCCAATGGCGACGTTATTGAATAAATTTACTTTTAGTATTTCAAGACATTTTTGTGTTTCAAGACATTTTTGTGTAATTTTGGTAATTATATCTGCTAAAATGAGATGTCAATTTTATTTACATTTTTACGTAATTTATACAACAATTTATATATATATATATATAGCGCCATCCGCAGACAGACTTTCACTGTATCACAGCTCCTCAGTGTAGCTAAACGTCTGATTGCCTCAAGCCAAGACCAAAACCCAACTGGTTTAGCATCAATCAGAGATTTCCCCCCTAAGCTGTCAGTTCTCGGCAGAGAGGAAGGGAAATCATGTGCATAAGAAAAAGAGATACTGAGAATTTTAAATGTAAAATAATTGTTTTATTTATGTGTGTTTTGGCCATGTAATCTACATGATTTCATTTAGATTCTTTTTCTTTCCATCGCTTTTGTTATTAAATATCCCACATTGTGATAATAGATCTCCCAAGAAAGGTGAAACATTGTAAGAACCTAGACACATTTATTGTGGATGATCTAGTGATTAAAGCACTTTCTATATATTAGGGATTCTGTTCAAACTAGTTCTTTATTAGTTACTCAACTTTTAAATATTAAGTATTTTCTATCTTTAAGGAACACTTTGAACATAACCATATTTTTAAAAAATAGCACATTAAAATTTTATTTTCAAGAAAACTCAATGTTTGAGCAAAGCTTTCATGTACAAAATTCCCACCTATTCTCACTGAAAAGATTGTCTGTTCATTGAAATATGTCTGTTCACTATTGAAATAGTGACAATTACATTAAGATGTATCATTTTAATAATTATGTATTTTTATTATCAGGATAAACAGATAGGAGTAGATAGGTTTCCTATCATCTGGTTCACTCCTCCCCAGTCTTTTGAACAGGAGTAGAGGTTTATCCCTTGTTTTCTGTTCAAGATTGGGTTTCTGATTCCTTCTAAAGTCTTTTTCATTCTCTTTCACTCTCATTAACCCTTTGCATCTTAGTGACATTATTACCTTGCTTGGGTGGAATTGATGAAAACAAAAAAAATTAACCTTTTTTCTTTTTCTTTTTTTTTTCTTTTGTGTACTGGATGATTATTTGTAATTCTTTACTGTACCTGTTTTTATCTGCTTTTTCAGATTTGGAATCATCCTGACGTCATGTGGAGAGTTATTCAGCAGCAAAAGAGTCTGGCAGAAGATAATGATTTAGATTTTGAACCAGATGGCAAAGTGAATGGTGTTCAACAATCAGGTGGCAAAAGAAAAAGTAAGTCTGGTACAGGCCGGTCATCCCAGTCTCACCAAGCCTGCAATAAAAGATCTCAGTCACATACGGAGAGCAACAATTCTTCTTCCCGTAATTCAAATGTTAACTGTTGTAGCTCAAATGTGAACAATTGTGGAGGCCCTAACAATAGCAGTTGCTCTAGCGGAGTCACCATGAACAGCTGTGGTAACAGTGGCACAGGTAGTGGCTCTAATTCGTGTGGTAGCCCTGGAATGAACAGCTGTAGCAGTCCGAACATGAACTCTTGTGCTGGTCCCTGCAACAATGCCAATCTCAATACAGGAATGGGGTCAATGAGCAGTGGAATGAATCCCTGTTGTAACACAGGGATGAATACGAGCAGTCACATGGGCTCAAACAATAATATGAATTCTTGTGGTCAGATGTCCAGTAGTTCTGGTATGAACAAACTTAGTCACATGGACATGAATTCCTGCAGCCAGATGGGAGCCAATCTGGATATGAATTCCTGCAGCCAAATGGGCCGAAATCCAAACCTCAATGCCTGTGGAAATATGGACATGAGCAGTTGTGGTCAGATGAATACAAATTTAGATATGAACGCTTGCAACCAGATGGATATGAATGCTTGCAATCAAATGAGTTGTGGCATGGAAATGAACCCTGGTAGCCACATGGGTAACAATTCGATGGCTCCGAGCAGTCACTTGAGCAATAGCTCTCTGAATCCCAATGGACACATGGTTAGCAGTTCAATGAACCCTGGGAGTCACACAATGACACTCGGTGGTCACATAGGTAGCAACACACTGACTATGGGTGGTCACATGAGTAGCAACACGATAAATATGAATAGTCATATGAACAATAACACAATGACTATGGGTGGACACATGGGTAATAATTCAATGAACCCAGGTGGCCACATGGGAAGTAACCCTATGAATATGGGTGGAAATTCAATGAACACAGGTGGACACATGGGCAATAGCCCTATGAACCTGGGTAGCAACCCTATGAATACCAGCAACCATATAAGCAGTAATTCTATGACCATGGGTGGTCCCATGAATACAGGTGGCCACATCTCAAGCAGCCACATGGGAGGTAATTCCATGAATACAGTCCATATGGGCAATAACCCTATGAATATGAGTGGCCACATGGGTGGTAACTCTATGAATAACACTGGCAATTCTATGAATGCCACTAATCAAATAAACAGCAATTCTATGAACGCCGCTAACCAAATGAACAACAACAACAACTCAATGAACATGGCTGGTCAAATTAATAACAAATCTTCCAATTTAGGTGGGCAGATGACAAGTAGCTCTGTGAATACAAGTGGTCCCATGGGAAGTAATAGTGGAATGAATTCCAATACAGGTGAATCCATGGGCAATCAGATGACCAATAATATGAAGGCTGCTGCAAATCCAGCATGTGCAAGCTCTGGACAGACGAGTTGCGAACGTGGAGTTGGTACGACCGGCACCATCAACAGCAACAATAGCAGCAACAACAATTGTTGTCAGAATGGTGGCACCGGCAACAGTGGCTCTACTGCAAATTCTTGTAGCAACGCTAGTGTGAATACATGTGCCCAACAAACTACCAGCACGGTCAGCACTGGAACCAATTCTTGCAGCCAAGGTGTACAAGCAAATGTCCAAACGGACAAAAGAAGTGATGTTCTTTCTTTGGATTGGGTAAGTAATACACATTCATTTGTTTATTTATATTATTTTGGTAAGGTTGTATAATTGGCACTGTGACCAGAAATAATAATAATGTTTTGATATTTCTATAGATTAATCACTCCAGACCACAAATAAATTATTTTTTTTTTATTTTGATGAAAGTTAACAGTGTGAGGGACAATTTTCTATGTAAATTCATTGTAAATTGTTCTCACTACAGAAGCCAAAACAAAATATGCTCATACCACATGATTTCTTAAAATTTCAAAAAACAAAACATTTTTTGAAATATTGTCATTCGGATTGCTTAATTGATTGCAATACCGGAATCTAGAGTGCTTAATCGGTGGCAATATATGAAAAAAGTACTTTAGATTGCAAATTTTTTAAAAAAATTTATTTTTTATATTTTAAGATGAATTGATATAGTAAACTAGATTTCACTACTAACTTAATTTAAATGCAATGGTAGTCATTATTTTCTGTTTTCTTAATTCTTGTTCTTTTATTGCTCTTTCTGCTTAATGTTTTCATTTTATCATATTCTCTAACACTCAGTACACCCTTCACACCTTGTGTCTTAGTGGCTTTATTGCCTTGCTTAGGGTGAATGATTAAGCAAAAAAAAAATAATCTGCAGTGTTTAATCTATAGTAATATGAAAAATAAAAATTGAAGAAAAAAAGATTTTCTGGTTGAGGTTATTTTATTGATTTCTGTGATGTTAAATATAATTTCTGTTTGTCTCTTTCTCGTGTATAGTTGACAAATTTGACTTGTTTATTCATCAAGCCATTTTTTTAATGATAACAACTTTTCAAGTCTTTAAAAGCTACTTTTTCTTTTCTTTTTTTATCTACATAAACGATAAATACTGAATCTAGTCTTAATAGGTTTCGTGTGGAGCTCTATTTTTTATGCCATCTCTCTTCAGGAAGTAGGTGATCATGACTCTCCACAGATTCTTTCTTTATTAGCTGTGAATTGCCATGATGTCTTGAGAAAGGTAGTAAATTTATTTCCTGTCCATGATTTAGAATTCAGTGTAGTCCTTTTAGACTGACTGCCATGCAAGGCTAAATAGTTCAATCTACCCTACTATTATTTAACCAAGGTGGGTGTGGCAAAGAATTCATACTTTTCTCAAGGGTATTTATGTGAAAGTGAATGCAACAGACTTGCACAGCCCAGTGGAAGTATTAAAATAACAATGGATAACATTCTAACTAATTAAGCACAAAATAATTACTACACAATAATTACTACACAAGATATTTGTTACAATCTGTCTTCAAATTATTCAACAAAAATTGCTGTCTTTGAAATAATTTGAAATCTGCAATATCTTATCATTGATTATAGACTAAATTCAGGAAATATTTAAGCATCAGCTAAGAGTAGTAGTGTTATCAAGAACAACTTCATTTTGTGATCATCGTGCGAAATTAGTTTTTACTGTACTTTTATCCATCAACCTTTCGTATAGAAGAATCATAATAGTTTGTGCATTGATTATAATAATCATATAATTAAAAATAAATATTGGATAGAGTTGTACAATTGGCATTGCAATCAGAAATAATCTTTTTTTTTTTTTTTTTTTCGTATTACTATAGATGAAGCATTCCAGATAACAAATATAAAAAAGAAAATTTATTTAAATTTTATAAACGTTAATAGGGAGGTCCAGTTTTCTATGTAAACTAATTGTAAATTGCCTCCCCCCTCCAGAAACCAACAAAAGTATGCTTATACAATATGATTTCTTAAAATTCATAATCTGCAGTGTTTAATCAATAGTAATTTATGAAAAAAAGATTAAAAAAGAATTTCACATTACAAATTTAAATATTTTTTTTTAAATTTAAAATCTAAGAAATCATCTGGTAAGAGCATATTTTGTTTTGGCTTCCATCAGAGGATCAATTTACAATGAATTTATATGGCAAACTGGGGACACCCTTCCTCCCATCAACTTAAAAAAAAAAAAAAAAATTTTCTTACATTCATGACCAGGAATGCTTAATTTATAGACCCTGATTACTCTTCTATTGTTCTCATTCTTTCATAATGCTTTCTAATTCTTTCATACCCTGTAACTTCTTGTCTCTTAGTAGCTTTTATAGCCTTGCTTGTGGTGAATTTGATTTTTTTTTTTTTTTTTTTTTTTTAAAGAAAAATGTAAGAAAATTATTATTTCTGATCACAGTGCCTCTTGTACACCTCCACCAACATTATTTTAATAGGCTTAAGAATTACAAGAATAAACAATACATTTAACAGTTATAAAGATTTTGTTTTGAAACTTCTGTAAAATTTTCATCTTGTTCACATAAAAAATAACTTAAAATCAAACTAATGAAAAAGAAATTTCTTTTGTATTTGCTTATGATGCAAAATTCCTTGCTGAAATCAAAAGCACTCATTTACACATTTTAATAGCTTGCTAAAAAGAAATTAACTGTTTAATAAATAATTCAATAGATTTAAATATTCATTTGTCAGTTTTTAAATTATTGGTGTAATTTGCAAGCATATTTCATCAACAAAGAATTACATCAATTTTTTTAATAATTGGTAGCAGTTACTAAAATCAAAACTTTGATACTTGATATTAACAAATTTTAAGAAATTCTGAAAGAGGCTAAACATTGTATGAATGGTATTTTTAAAAGCTGATAAAATCCTATTATTGTTTACTGATGGTAAATTTAAATTCCTCTTATTTTTTTTACATTTTTAGGTTTCTGAAGTAATGAAGGAATATACACCAGGACTTTTGGAAAATGGTGGGAAAATGGTATTACTGTTCAGTTTAATTGAAGAATCTCTGAAAATAGGTGATAAACTGTTAGTCTTCAGGTATGTAACAATTTTTAGATCCTTGTACATTTTAGCAAATGTTTAGCATTTAAATAATTTTTCAGCTTTTAGATTTCTCATGTCCTTGCAAAACTTGGAATGTTATTTCTAATATTTTTTAAAAGTGTCATCTATTATTTTAGAACAATATGCTTTTTTCTGTTCTAGTTTTGAAATTCAGTTGTTTTAATTGTTCATAAGTTTCCCTTGTCTACCGATTAAATACTGAAATGTTAATAGCTGTTTCCTTATCAAGAAACATTCAGCACTCACTGACCGAACATCCATTGATAAATTAAAATTTATAAAATCTTTCTCTTAAAACAATTTTCCAAGAAAATATGTACTTACAAAGCCTTTAGTTTCTAGTCACCAAAATGGGTAACATACGGTAATCATAGACGCTATATAATTATATGTAAGAAGAGTAGTGTGATATTTTCTTTCACATTCTGGGATTTTCTTGCTGTTTACCTTTCAATTTGTGAGTCTAGTTTAATTTAGGGTCTCATCCATGCAGATGTATTAATAAGTTGCAATTTCATTCTTCCTGCTGAGTAGACAATATTTAAAGAGAAGAAAAATGAATTTGGTTACATAGTAAGTGTGAGTTCAATCCTTGGACTGGGCAGTGCAGACTCTGACCTGGTGGAAATGAGGGAAGCAGTAACTGCTAAAATAAGAATTAGACAAGATATTCCTAGACATGAATAGTAGAACAAGAACAATCTCCCCCCCCCCTCCCAAATAAATTAAAGGTTTAAAATTTCCTGTAGCTTATCTGGATTGACATCCACCTGATAAAAGCTGGAGGGCACAGCCACTGAAACATTATGATAACGATGACCAAGATGAGGAAAATAATCTGCATGTAAATAGTGCGGGGTTGGTGAGGGGGATATTTATTTTCACATGTTTATTTAAGGGGAAAATATTTATCTTGTAATTTGAAACTTAGCAAGTATAATCTTTTTTTTTTTTTTCCCCTCCAGCCAAAGTCTAACCACATTGAATGTTATTGAGGATTTCCTTAGCAAAACTGCAGTACCTCGACCAGATATGAAAGAAAAATGGTGTAAAAACAGAAATTATTTTAGTAAGTATATCAGTATAACATTTTTATTTTTCTATCAACTTGAGAATTTTTTTTTTATTTTATTTTATACAAATCTGCCTCACTTTATTTCTATCAATAAAAATTCTTCCCATTTTAATTTCCTGAAATGATCAAAGCAATTTGCCCTTTTCCTTTTAAGAATGAAATTTATGAAACAAAAGATTCTTAAATCTAACATAATTTGCAATAATTTCTATTGAGCTTGGTAGCATAGGGCACATAAGTGTGCATGTAGAGGTGGCTAGTTTTCATTTTGGCAGATTGCAACAGCTATCAGAAAGATGAAATTTAAATTTTTATTATTGAATTATTCCAAAATTTTAACATATCAGCAGATACCTATTAATGTCAACAACTGAGCACAAATAGTTATTAATTCCATAAATACATGTACAAGAATGTCGTTTTTGATAAATGTTAAAAAAATAACCATAAATACATAAAAAAAAATGCATATATTATCGAAAATTCCTTTTTCCACAATATAGCTATTTGTGCTATGTTATAATGCTTATTACATAAACAATAATAATACTAAATAAATTTTTTTTTAAACATTAAAATTTATTTAATCACATCTCCCTAATAGCTGTTGCAATCTGTGAAACAAGCAGAGAAAAAGCGAGCACAACCCTAAAGGATATCCATGCAGGAAATGAGAAAGAAAGTCGTTGGATCTGGATCAAAAGAGATGTTGAAAATTTACTTGAGAAATGATCTCTGAGAGAAATAGCTGACAGGCAGTAAACCAGTCGAACCAAATGGTGCTGGCTGACATCAGTGAGGTAGTGGGGCTGTGCACTGCAAAATCTATTAAGGGGCAAGCTCCAAAATAGAACATATTCTCTCCTGATGGTAACCCTTGAAAACCTCCTAGCATCCAATACATGACGCATTCATTTGACTGTACTTGTAGTCGCAAGATGTTTTCAATTTCCGTAGAATTATTTTATGTCACTTATTTAGCCTCCACTTCTTTTTAAAAAAAATATTTCATAGTATTCTAGCAATTTATCTTCACTTGAATATGTGTGTGTTTCACCATTTGGCTTTGTTTGATCGGCAAGGCTCTTTGTGGCCAATTTAGTCTAAAGCACATTGGAAATAATGATGGTTTCTCCTGCAAAGGGTGATGTTGATTCAAATCCTGACAGAAGGGCGCATCTTTTCTTTAATAAAATTTCTCAAATATTCAGGTTGGTAGATGAAAATAAAAATAAATACACCATTTAACAAATAAATGGAGCATCTACTCAAATATTGAAATCCACTAAAAAAAATAATGTTATATATATATATATATATATATATATATATATATATATATATATATATAAATTGTCGATGGAAATTATCGTCTAAAAATGAAAATGAAAATACCACTGGCATCTCATTTTAACAGATATATTTACCAAAATTACACAAATATCTTGAAATACTAAAGAGTACATTTATTTGCTAAAATCACCATTGGCTTCAACCACAGCCTCCTGACGTTTTGGAATCTCCTGCAACTCTACTGGGCATTTTTCTTTGTTTAAGTTGGTGAATGCTGCCATAATCCTTGCCTTCAGTTTATCATTAGTGTTACAAAGAGTTTTGTTGGTCTCTTGCTCAACTGCACCCCACACATAATAATCAAGGGTGTTGTAGTCTGGGGAATTAGGTGGCCAGATGTAAGGGGTAATATGGTCATAGAAATTGTCTAACATCCATGACTGGGTTCTCCTGCTTGTGTGTATTGATGCAGAGTCCTGTTGCCAGACATAGGGTCTTCTAGTAGCCACCCTTTTGATTCAGGGCAGCACTACCCCCATCAAGGCACTTAATGTAGGCCTCCATGTTGAGTCTGAGGCCCTGTGGAAAGATCAATGGAAGCATAACATTGCCATCGCTAGTGATAACTCCAAACACCATGTTATTGACTGGATATATCATCCAACTCTTTCCCAAATCCTCTGCACTGTTCTCAGATTGACACAAAAACACACTAAAATGTTCATATAGGAGTTTCCAACACGAATGCCAAGAAATACAGTATGATGTTTCCAAATTTTTGACAATGAATTACATCATGGTGCTCTTTTTCACAGTGTCCAACTGACTCTACTATACTGTGCTGTTCACAAAATCGAAATCAAAAATATAAAATAGTGACAATTAACCCTTCGTACCCTCTGTGTATACATGAGTGTGTGTGTGTATGTATGTGTATATATATATATATATATATATATAATAAACTGTTACATTGGAACATGCAGGTTACCACAACAAAAATGCGTATTTGTTTCGATGTATAATTAGACATCAAATCAAATATGCATTTTTGTTGTGGTAACTTGCATGTTCCAATATAACTGTTTATAATCAATATATATTACTCTATTCTTGTATTGAGCCCTTTTTTAAATTAATATTATGAACGTTTGGATTTATATTCTTTTACATTTGGAAATATATACAGTGTAACCCGGATATAAGAGAGATTTTCTCTGGTCCCAAATTAGAGCCTGTGTTAATGTATATAAAATAGACCAAACCCGGATATAAGAGACTTTTTCTCTGGTCCCGACAACTCTCTTATATCCGGGTTACACTATAATCACACTTATATTTTATGTTTTGTTTTTTTGTTTTTTCTCCAGTATTGATTAAGACAGTTTTCAATCAGTAATTTTTCTGTGTTTTATTTTTAATTTAGGATTGGATGGAAGTACATCTGCTGCTGAACGAGAAAAGCTAATTAATCAATTTAATGATCCTGACAACAGTAGGGTTTGGTTATTCCTTCTTTCAACCAGGTAAGTCACACCTTTCTAAAGTTGGAAAAGTAATCACCCCCTCCTCCTATCTATAACTGGAAAAATATTATTTTTCTTAAAATCCACTTTTCTTGCTTATTATCCATTTCATTTTTCTTAAATATTTTTTTTGACATTTTTAAACCCAATTTTTTACTTATTGTTTCAAATATTTTAAATTTCTTTCCTTTGATGTCAAATCATTGTTTTCCTTATTTCTGTCCCATCCCTTTCACTCAATAACTTTACAATATCTTGTTGTTCTTTTGTGCTTATATCTATTATCCGTAACACTCTTTGATATTTAATAATTCTTGATATATAATCACTATATCATATATATTAATTTATAATATCCCAAAGAGCTTTTAAATTTCATAATAAAATCTCACATTAAATAAATTAATGAAAATATTTGTAATTTTTTTTTTGTTTTTTTTTTTGTTAATCATTTCACCCCAAGCAAGGCAATAAAGCCACTAAGACGCAAGGGGTTATTGAGTAAAAGAATAGATTATGAGAAAAAGAAAAACATTAAGGAAAGAGAACTATAAAAGAACGGGGATTAAAAGGGCAAAAAATAACAACGGAAAGCTGGAAGAGATTTCCGTAAGTGAGATGTGTAATAGAAGAAACTGTTAGCATAGAACTTAGTTACATCTAGCAGCCATTTCAATTGTAAAATGATGTTAATAGGTTAATATTATATGTAATAATTTTAATTTCTTTTATAAGAGACAGTTGTAGAGATTCTTAGAGATATCATTTGCTAAATTGAAGTAAAAGTTATTTTCAAACAATTTCCTCCTGAAAAATTCATACATTCACTCATTTAAAATTAAAAAAAAAAAAAAAAAAATTAAAAAGCAAAGAAAATAATTGAAATTTATATAACTTCTATGATTATATCTTTTCTTATTTTTGAATTAGTTTCTCAGTCTGTTATGTAAAAAAAAAATGTTAAGTTAGTCCATTAAATATTTGTGTTATATAGGATTTCATTGTTGGACAACTTTTGTATTTATACCTAATTTTTTGTAAAATTTTGAACTGCATTTATTCATGTGTATATATTTATATGTTTATATAACTTAGCACAAAATGCAGACACTAAGTTGCAAATATTTTAAAATTTATGTTGTGTTAAATACATTAGAGTAAGTTTTGAAATTAAAAAAAAAAAGGCCTTTTTCAGAGACTCTGCACAAAAGAATTAAATATACCTCATTTTTGGGACTTGGATAGGATTATTCCACTTTTTTAAAAAATTCTATGAAATCTTGAAATCTACAAATTAACAAGTTGAATGAATTTTTAATATTGAAATCAGGAAATAAAATCTCTTGGTAATTTGTGTCTTTCAGGTATTATCCAATTATAATTTCCTAAAAGAAAAAAGAAAACTTAGTTTATTAAAGGTATTTGTTTATTTATTACTCTTTCCCCTTCTGTTCTTTCAGAGCTGGTTGTTTAGGAATCAACTTAATCGGAGCAAACAGAGTTGTGATATTTGATGCTTCCTGGAACCCATGTCACGATTGTCAGGCAGTATGCCGTGTATATCGTTATGGCCAGGAGAAGAAATCTTATATTTATCGACTGATTACAGATAACAGCTTAGAGAAGAAGATATATGACAGACAGATAAACAAACAAGGAATGTCTGGTTAGTATATATTCATACTTTATATACAAAGACAGGAGGGGGGGTGAATGGATCATGGGAAGAAACTTGACCAATCTTAAAAACAAAAGAATTAAATATACCTCATACCAGACTCAAACATTTGATACTGAAATTATTGTAAATTATAATTATGCAATTATTGGATATTACAATCACGGTAAATTATTATAATTAATGGATCTTACAGTCACTAAGTTATTGTAATTATACAATTATTGACGACTTCAAGTGTTATTTTTATTGGATTTATTGCTTTTATTTTCCACAGTTATCAAACTTTGATATTTGTGTGTTTATGTACAATTGTTATTTCTACTGCTTTTTAATGTTTTTGTTTATCTAATATATATATATATATATATATATATATATATATATATATATATATATATAATAAAAAAGGCTCAAACACTAACATTCTCTGTTAAATTTTAATCCCCACCTTCACCTTTGGGCCTTCCTGCTCTTTCTTCTGTTACACCCTCTCTCTAGAGCTTTCAGACATTTCCCTCTCACACTTGTTTCCCACACGTACACTCTCATCAAAATTTTGCTTTTTATACCCAGAGTTATATTTTCCAATTTCTTTTTGAATTTGTAGTTCTGATGGATTGGATCATGATTATGATTCCAATGTAATAAATTATGACTGTGGAATATTAGTGTTTGAACCTTTTTGATTATATTCTTACTTTGTCCTGGACATTGAGTTTTACCTGGATTCTATCCTCTTGGGAATATATATATATATATATATATATATATATATATATATATATATATATATATATATATTATTTTATATATATATATATTTTTATATATATATATAAAGAATGGGTAGCATAAAAAAAAAATCTACATGCACATACGTATGCTTATATGTATAAATATATTTCTTCTTCGGGTCTTATAAATACAGTGCTCAATGTTATGGGATAGCTCTAAGTATATATTAATGAATATACATAATATCCAACCAACATCAATAGCATGACTCAGAGTTTCTTGCAATCTTCAGGTGCAAATTAATGGTTAGAACATATTTGCACCAGAAGATTGTGTTGGAGATTATATATTTACATATGTCCCAAAGGTTGACATAGCTGACAAGCTCCCACTGTTCATAAATGACAAGCATAGACTCTGACATCTAAGTCCAGCTCCAAGCCAGAGAAGTAGCAAATGCAGGCCACCAGTGACATATACCAATAATAATAATCACATCTTATAATGTTGACATTTATATTATGTGATTGTTTTATATATCTCATGTATTTTATTATATCTTTTGTCATTTTTCGTAGGATAATCACTGTTTCCCCTTTTTATTTCACAGATCGTGTTGTTGATGAATTGAATCCTGAAAATCAGTTTACTCGGCAGCAAGTAGATAGTTTACTTCATTATGTCGTAAGTTGATCTTTACACTTTCAAAGTTTGCTATTGCTTTTCCTGGCCAAATCATTTTTGACATTGCCTACTGCTTTCAAATCTTTAATTTCTCATTTATCAGATATAATTTTTAAAAAAAGTGTTCACATTTAATAACTGACATTTTTTTCATCTCTTAACAGTTGACTTCTGTAACTGTAAACCTCTCATCAATAATTGATAGTGTATTTGAATTTAGCAGTTTGTGTTTAGCAGTTATTGCTGATAGCAGAAAAAAAGTTGGATTGAAATTGTCCACCGGGCTGAAATTGACCACTGGGCAACTGCAGCTCTGAGGTGTCTTGAAAGAATTCATTATGTAGCAGAGTAAATAATATTTAGCAATAAAAAGGGAAAAAGAAATAGCAAAAATTTAATAGACAAGGGAATCAAGGTATTCCAAAGCAAGAAAACAAATTTGATATCATAAGCAATCTGCAAAAATAAATGCAGTTATTAACTTTTGAAATAAAAATGTCTTTGTGTTATAGTGAAACACACCTATTCTATTGTTAATAGACTCTCCCACCTCTAATAAGTAGGAGTAGTAGCAGTCGCTCAGTGAGTCAGTCAGGGAGTTGGTCAGTCAGTCGAGGTCGGACGACCGTTAGTTGGATACTAAAAGTATCAGTGACCACCACTAGATTTCTCTGCGTCATTACCTATTATATCAAGTTCCTAACGTTTTGTACGTCGAACCTATTTTAGGACCGACTTAGTGAAATACAAGCCTCCACTGTGAAAATACTCTACAACACTTTGTAAAAAGAAAAGTGAGGATAAAATAAAGAGTTTAATGAGTTTTACCCAAATGAATGTCCTTTGTTGGAAATGTTGACATCTTCAGAAGAAAAGGAGTCTAACGACTGAACAAACAACTACCATTGAATGCGAGTGATAATGAGAATTTTACAATATACAGTTGCAGGAACCAAAAGGAATATCCTGGGGAAACAGTAGGAATAGGGGTGGGTTAATTTGATCTTTCTCTGATATCTGCTTTGAGAGATTTTTTTTTTTTTTTTTTCCACTGACTTTAACAGATTGTATTTTGTTTTGAACTAGACTCTGAAAAGTGGTGAGTTGGGTGTGTTCTTGATCAAAAAGCTCTTTTGTGTGTGTGAGTGTGTAATATGGAAATTTCTCAGAGTTAACCCGTAGAAAAGACAATATTTATAAATATAAATGACAATAAGAAAACTAGTTATTGTTGACGCGTTTCATCCAATGTGGACTTTCTCAAAGCAAAATTAATTAATTTTAATTAAAGAACATAACTAATGATAACAAAAAATAGAATGTTCTTAGCAACTGGACGAATATAGAGAATGCTATTTTCATATTGTTAACTGAAAATAACGTCAGTTATTGTCACATGTGGAGAATATTGTCATTATAACTGTGTTGGCGGATTCAACCATTTTCTTTTGATTTTACGATATTGTTGTGTACATTTGTTTAGGAGAGCAGTAATTTTGTTAAGAAAAGTGAAATAGGGAAAAAGCCTGGGCGTAGATTAATATTTGGGTAATATTCTATGGTGCCACTCTAGAATTTTTGTTCTGAGTGAGTTATTTTCTTTTTTTATGAGTGTAGCATTTTTAAAATCAAAATTATGGTTGAATTTATTTCTATGTATGACTAGTGCATTATTTTTTATTATTAGTTATGTTCTTTAATTAAATTCATTTCGTTTTTTGCTTTGAGAAAGTTCACATTGGACGAAACGTGTCAGCAATAACTACAGTTTTCCTATTGTCATGTGTGTGTGTATATATATATATATATATATATATATATATTCCAAATGTAAGAATGCTAGAAAGAATAAATAAAAACTTAATTCAGTTCTCCTTGTCTGCCATATTTAAAGAAAGATGTATTTTTTTAAAAAAAAAAAAGTTTGCTGCTCAAATATACATTTTTATATGTGTGTGTGTGTCTGTAACTTGCTATGCATACGTCTGTATCCATGTGATTCAAGTCTAACAAATTAAAATCCAGCCACTATCTTCACACCCACAGTTTTTGAGTTTTTAGAATTTGAAAAAAACCCAATATATGAAACTTGATTTATGCATTCTTTTTTTTTTTTTCTCTCTCAAGAATTGACAACCAAAAAAAATAAACACTATTTTATTACCTTCTTTATTTACAACTAGCAGCCATACCCAACTGGTTGATCAAAAAAAAGCATTCATTCAATTAGAATGGAGCAAAAATAGCATCCTGTTTAGATATAACAGTCTATCTTCAATTACTTTAAAGTATTTTCATTAAAAAACATTTTGAATTAATGCAGTTACTGATATAACAAAAGTAGTCTGTATTTATTCAATCGAAGTTAACCAAGGACATGAAGGGGTAAAACAGGCAACATGAAGACCCACTTCAGACCACAATTATTTTGGAGTTTTTGAAATTCAATTTGTCAGTGTGCTACCAGGGATGTAAAAGAGGATACCTTATCAAAGTAAATGACTGTTAAACAATCAACTTAATGTTGGCTACAATTGAGTGAAGTTTGTATTAAGATTGCTTGAAAATTGAAGGAATTTTTATTTTAAAATTTGTGTTGAAATCGATTTTTCATGGTTTTTTTTTTTGCAGTTTAGCTAAATTCAGTAGAAATAAAAAAGAGGTATCATTGAGCTTGTCATTATTTAAGTAACCTACATACTGACTTTGAACAAAATCAGAGGAAAAAAGTGGAATTTTTTGATTTTTGATCAGCTTTATTGATTAATGATTTTTTGAAAATGATTGATCTTTTTACGTTAAGATCTTATTTCTTACATTGTAAAATGTATGTGCCAAGTTTGGTCAAAATCAGTTCAATGGAACTCTAGTGAAAAGGTATCAGACAGGCACACAGACATCCTCTGTTTTATATTTTAAAATAATAATAATAATTTATATTTTTTTTTTTTTTTTTTTTTTTTTTTTTATAAATTTATAAAAATGTCAGCAAAAGAACAAGAAAGTTTGAGTAAACATAACTGAGAAACTAATTATAAATTTTAAAAAGAATTATTTTCTGAGAATTTCTTTCATTTTCTTTCACCACATAAATTCACTAAAATGATTTTTGAGCATCTGGATTTTTTTTTTTTTCCTTCTTTTTCTTGAGAATTACAAAAAAAAATGTTAAATACTATTTATTTATTTATTAGACTGTTTAATTACAAAAATAGAAAAAATAATGCTTAATATTTTTGTTGTCTATCCTTGAAAAGGAATAAAAATCCTGTTTCATTTGTTTGGGTTTTAATACAATTCTAAAAATTTCTTAAAGTGATAAAATTTCCAGAGAGTAGTACCTTGATGAAGAGAAAATTGGTCCTTTTGGCACACCAATTTTTTTTTTTTTTTTTTTGTGCAGGTACCTTTTGTGGCTCAGCATTCAGTTTGTTGATTTTTATTAAGAATCCAAATGCCTTGAACAGATGCAAATTGTAAAGTAATTGCAATTTATGCCAAAGTGAATTTCATTTTTCTTGTCTTTTGGTAACAACATATAATTGGACTTTTATTCTCATTGTCAAGACGGATCATTTATGGAATCTTTTCTTCAAAACCATTTTGTATATTTATATTTTTCATCATTTTATTTTTTATATTTTGTAAAAAAAAAATATATATATATATATATATATATATATATATATATGCTGAAGTAGAAGTTTCTTTTGCCCATGACTTTAATTATATTAGCCAATGCATTTTTTTTATTATTTCAGGATCAAGATCTTCCTGAAGTGAATATAAAGGATCTTGAGGACTATACAGATCCTGTGATGAAAAATGTACTTAGTTCTCATGGCAAGTGGCTGACTAAGGTAAGTTATTTGAAAGAGTAAGGATAAGAGTTCAGCGAGCAAAAACATTTCTATTATGGACAAAAGTTACTGCCAAAATTGGTTTTGATTTATTTCTGAATCTATGTCTCTCCCAGCTATGGGTTAATTAGTAAAACTTGTATCAGTAAAAATCATTGTCAAAAAAAAAAAAAAAAAATTTTACAATGTAAAAAAAATATTTGGCATTTTTTTTAAATAACCTACGAGTTGATAATCCATAACACCACCATAATGTTTCAGTGATGTTTTTTTTTTTTTTTTAAAAAACGTTTCTTTGGTATAAAACAAAACAACATACAGTGAAAGTAATATTGGTAAAATTCCATAAGAAATTTTTTATTTATTTATTTTTATTTTAGTTTTTTTTATTTATTTATTTATTTTTTTATAATTGAAAATTAAATTATGTTGTATTGTAAATATAGATAACCTATAGACCAAATGTGATGTTTTATTTTTCATTTTTCAGGAACCTTTTACACATGAATCTTTGTTGCTTGATCAAAAAAGTCTTCGCCTCACCAAGAAAGAGAAGCAACTTGCTAAGCAAGGCTATGTGATGGAAAAGAAAATGAATCTTAGCTACAACCGACAGTCTTACTCTGTGTATTATCCAAAGCCAGGACAGGCAACATACTACACCACTAATGCACCTTGGTAAGAAGTTTTGGCCAGTTATGGCTGAAATTTTAGGTTTTCTCTCTTTTTTTTAATATGAATGCTTTTTTTTTTTTTATCATTAGCAAGGCAATAAACCTTTTAAAACACACTTGTTTACTGAGTAAATAAGCAAAAGAAAAACATTAAGAAGAATGAACAATAAAAGAACAGTTAAGACAATTGATAAAAATTGACACTAGCTTTAAATTTTTAAAGATCAAAGTTGACTGGAAAACAAGGAGCTGGAATAGTTACACAAGTGGGAAGTGCAAGAGAAGAAAGTGTTAGCATAGAATTTACGGTTACATCTAGCCATTTCAATTGTAAAATGATGAGACCTTACTGCCAATCTAGTACTGCGCTTAAATTCATAGTCTTGGTACCATAGAGGAAAGTTCATCAGAAATTACAGAAAAGTCACAAGAAAGTTAGATTACAGCAGTGGGAAAGTGACCAGAAATATTTGATTATATGCACTTTATTATTTTTAGTGGATGCCATAAGAGGAACTGTAAGGAAAGGAGAATTTGAATAGTTTTGTATTATTTGCGTTGATTTAAAGAGAAAAAATAATCCTATATTTTTCATCTTTCTGTCTTCCTCTTTCTTTAAAGGCCTAACAATTTCCAACCAGGAGAACGCCCTGTTGCCAGTGTGAAGCCAATCATATCTACACCTGTGCCAATGCCCCTGCCCCATGTGAACTTCCCACTTAACCAAATGCTTCGATCCACTATGCCAGGTCAGCAGGTAAAAGTTGTGCGACCTGGAGTATCAGTGCATCAAATTGTAACCACAACAGGTAAGATCAGTTGAACTCTATATCTACCGGACACTTTGTGAAATTGAATCGCTTATTAATTGTGTATTTTCTGAATACATTTTTAATATTCAAACATATTTTAACCATGTTTATCTATAAAGTATCTTTTGACCTCTAGGCTGATTGCTTTATCTAGTCTATAGGTTTAAGGTCAGCAGAGGGTAACTTGGCTTACTTTTAACCAATATGAAATTAGATTTGACTTTTACAGTTCTCAAGAGTTCGAACTTTGTGCTAATAATATTCACTAAACTAATATTAGTATACTAATGAGGTTAAAAAAAAATCACTAAATTAGCATAATATAATTACTTTTAAGAATTTTTCTTTATTAATTCATACATACATAGCCATATTTAAAAAAAAAAAAAAAAAGATTGAATGCAGGACAGGGATTAATCTTGCACAAAGCAAGGTGGGTCCTACCTAATAAAGGATTTGTCATAATGATTTGAGGCAAGGTTTTACAAGGCTGGATGCACTTCCTGAAGCCCAACACGGGCACTCACAGTAGTCCAAGTACACAGTGTTTTTATTGAGACACCATCTCTAGGAAAGTTGCTCTTCTGTACATACACACACACACACACACATATATATATATATATATATATATATATATATATATATATATATATATATATATATATATATATATAATAGCCACTCATATCCGAATATGCCTGCATAGTACAGCTAGCCAATCCCTGTTGCAGACGCATGTTCAGACACATTTGTGTTTGTTCAGCACCCACAATGCCCACCTGCAATTTATACAGCAATTATGCTGAGCAGACCTTAGTTACAGTTTTTGGGAGAGTGCACATTATCTGGCATGGGCAACTGTTTAAACAAGGCTAGCATGCTGAAACCCTCAGTCAAGATGACTTATGACTTTGTATTAACACAACTGCCAACAGCTATCCTCCTTTTACTCACAAAGCTTGGGTGAAACTGTGGTATGGTTTCCAGGCACTTTGCATTGGTTCTGCACACTAAGATTGCCTCATCTAGATTGATAACATCAAGGAGTCACCTTCCTGACAAATTAACCATGGTCTCATGGCCAGAAAGCAAATGTTCTAACCACCCTGCCACATGCCATATATTGGGAAAGGTGTGAATCCTCTTCTCCCTCCAGCTATGGGTAAATAGCAGGACAGACTGGGTTCTATAGCCTTGGATAGCAACTGGTCTAGAAGAAGGACAACTCTGTATTCAAAACCTATGGAGGATCGTTTGGGAACCTTGTGGCACGTAGTGTACCACGTTTCTGTATTCGGCCCTTCAAAAAAGTGTGGATGGTCCTGCACGAAACTTTCACCACTATAATCAAATCTCGTGCTGTTGTCGGGCTGTCGGTTTCCTAGGAACTGATCTGCTTGACCCTCGTATGTCGAATTCGACGGGAGAGTCGAGTAATATAAGTTCTTATGCCTTAAATATCTGGCATTGTGACATTTCTAAAGCTTTGTCATAAATTCATACATTTTTTTTAAAGCCATAAGTAAAAAGTATAATTCTGTTTTTGTTATTAAATTGTATAACTAAAGAAAATTCCAAGTCCAATGACGTTTTTATCTTGGATGCTGAACATAAATTTAAGACAACATCATTTAATACTCACTTGGTTTTGATTTATGTAAAAAAACTAAAAAATAAATAATTAAAAAAAGGAAAAATTGAAACCATTTGAATTCGTATTATAATTTCTTTTTTCCCCCCATCTAAGATATCATGCTTCCTGGCTCCAACAATAATTCTTCATACCCAGATGTCATCCCGGCTGGTCAGCAAATCCATGTTATTAAAACACCACGCGGTGTATATATTCGCACCAACAAGGGCAAGATCTTTGCTGTTCGCTCGAAACCTGTTAACTCGACAGGTACCCAGGTGTCTACATCTTCATCAACGTCTACATCTACATCCACTATGTCTGATTTGCTGTTACCATCACCAAATACAACTTCCATCGCAGTTGGCACTAATACTGGCAATGGCAGCAGCAGCAGCACCAGCACCAATACCACCAGCAGTGCAACTATCATAACTGTCACCACAGCTAGTAGTAATACTACTACTACTACACCATCCAGCAGTAAGTTGTGATGCATTCATACAATTTTCATGTTTCAACAATAAACTTATTATTCCAATAGTTGGATTTTGTGAAAATAATAATAATAATTGCAGTTATCGCCCTTTGTTAAATAAGAAGTTTGGATTGATAACCTATGAAAAATCTCTATAAAATTATAAAGCTTATTATAACTGCCACCCCAATGATATAAAGTTACAATAAAATTTTGGCAAACGTGGACCTTTGTGCTTGCAAAAATAATAAAAAACGATGTTTCAAAAAGGATGCTTTTTTCTTTTTTTTTTTTTCTTTTTTCATTGACACCACTATTGTGTTCACTCCCTTGACAATATTTATTTACAAGATTACAAAAAATTATTTACCTTTTATTAAGATATATTTACCATTTTATGAAGAAATAAATGTGAAATGAAATCTTTTTATTCAAAAATTAAAAAAAAAAAATTATCAAAATATTTAAAGCCTCTACAATGCAATAAGTTATATTTACAATGTTCAAAAGGTGTTTTGTAATTCATTGATATAAAATTATGAATGAAAAAACTTGTTTTCACAGTTATTTAGAAAATGGCAAATAATTAATATTGCATTGTAATTGGTTTACATATTTTGATAATTTTGTAATTTCTTATAAATTTTTGAATAAAAAGATTTTTCATATTTATTTCTTTATAAAACAGTAAATAATTAATCTTTATAAAAGGTAAATTTTTTATAATCGTGTAAATAAATTTTTTTCTTTTTTACGAGCACAAAGGTCAGTGTTTGCCAAAACCTTTTTTTATTAAGTATTCTTTGCATCCAAGAGGTGTTCAGTTATATAGAAGTAATTTTTTTGTGAACTCATTTTTTTTTTTTTTTGTTTTGCAAAATATGCTGAATTATAGAGCCAAGTGCTTTAGTAAGTCTCACAATTCATGAAGAGTTATGAATTAATTTGGTTTGCTGAAATTCTTGATTGAGCTTGAACTTACGAAGCTATATTTCATAAATTTTATTATTGTTATTTCTGAGTCTATATATTAGGTTTGCCAAAAAGAAGTTTGTTTGCTTATTAAGCAGAAAACTTAAACTGAACAGACATTTTGGCCAACCAAGTATTAAATGAATATAAATATAAGTATTTCTCTTATATCTCAATAGAAACAAGAACAAGTTTTATTTGACAATTACTAACAATCTTTTTCTAACTCAGCTCTGTAATCTTGTACCCAATTATCAGATGATATATGTTTGGGATGATGCAGTTTACCATCACTAAAGATGCTGGAAAATTACTCAGCTCCTTGTACCGTGCCAGGAAGTATCTGACTCCTCTTGATATGCTCTATCTTTACACTTACAAAACCAAACTAAAAATGGAGGACTGCTGCCCTATCTGGGGTGAAGCTGTCCAGTTCTCACCTTTCAGCATTGATAGAGTGTAACAATAGTACCTTCATGGCTCTGTGAGTGATGAATTATTTGCCACTCTATAACCCCCCCCTCTCCATTCCACAGCTGAAACATTGCAATAAGGAAATTTCTGTCAAACTACATTCCTTAGTTCCACCAGGCCTGACCTTCACAGCTAAAATCCACCATCCATGTACTCAGCAACAAATCATCTCCATTTCCTTTGTATTCTGTTAGCAAGAAGAAAGTTCCATTCAGACAGCTTCTTCCTAAAAACTACAGCTTCATGGGATACTCCTGAGAGGACATTTCCTCAATCATTACAATTTTAACCTCTTTAAGTCTATGATAACCATTAACTTTCTTGCGTATCCTTTTAAACTGCACTTCTTACCTCCTACTCTTACATGCAACAAACACTCTACTTTGAGTAGCTCATGGGCCTTGTATTGGGTGAACAATTAGTATTAAAAACAAAACCATAAAGTGTACTGGAGAAAAATAATATTCCTTTCAACGAAATGTTCAATACTTTCCAATAAAATTTTGTTTTTTAATGATTTTTCTGAAATGTTCTTGCAAAATGTTTTATCCAGAATAAATTAATTTTATTTAAAAAGAAGAAAAAAAAAAAAAAAAGAATTCATCAGAATTTTACACTTGAAATAATATTTAATTTGAATTGCAATGGGGTGCTGAAAAGTTCTCTATTCAGCCTGTTTCCCATAATCTAACCAAATGAACAAATGTCAGAATTTTTTGATCCCTTTTTGCTCAGGCTGAAAAAAAAATATTCACATGCACAAGAGGGTGCTGAAAATATCTACAACTTGCCTTGCTTTCAAAAATCAATATTTTGGCATTTGGTCATGAAAATACTGATTTGTGAAAGAGAATCAATAACTTTTGCAAGGACCCTCACTATGTGTCGGGGGGGGGTCCTCCCTTTTTTCATACGCAAAAATTCTTTTTAAAGTTTCAGTTTTTCTTATTTAACTTCTAACATTCAAAGTTTCAAAACATCTAATAGGATACAAAAAAACTTGTTAGACATGTTTTATGACTGGGCTGTAGTTTTATTGTTTCAAATTAATGACTACAAACAAAAAAAAAAATGTGAAAATTTTATTTTTGTAATGTGATTTAAAAAAAAATTTTTTTAAGATGCTTCTGGAACCACACAACTGACATTCCTGGATAACCGAACAAGCAGCCAGGTAACGTCTAACAGCAACAACAATGCCAGTAACAACACTACCACTACCAACACCAACAACATCTCTGCAACCACAACCATGACCAGCAGCAGCAACAGCACAAGTGGGTCTACCAATTCTGCCTATCCTGAATACCTGAACTATCTGCGCTCCCTGAAGCCATCATTCCAGCCAAATTATCAGCTGCTTGGTAACAACATTGGTGGCACAGGCAACAGTGGCAACAATTTCAGCAACCAACTTCTCTCCCCTCACATGATGCAATCAACCCCAACCCAAAGCTCCTTTCTCCCTTCTTCCTCGTCTTCATCATCATCTTCTCGCCAGCTTGGCTCCCAGCCACTGCCGGCCCATCCCCCTCACCCACCAAAGCCAATTTCTATTCAAAAGGACAATGACATTTACATTATCAGTGATGATGAGGGCAAGGTAGACAGTGAGCCGGACATAGTTGGCAGTAACAACAGCAGTGGACTCAGTGCTGCTGGTAGCAACTGCAACAGACTCTCCTCTCTCCTGCCACAAACCTCCTCTTCCTTGGAACTGTCAGCTCTGATTGGCGACACATCCTTGCAGAGCAGCAGTGCTCCAAGTAGCGGTGGTTCAGCAGTACAGTCCTCTTTCAGTTGCAACTCGTTATCAAACATATCACCCTCTCCCCTCAGTCAAGTCTTGCAGTCCAGTAACAGTGCCACTGGCAACCCTGCTAGCTGTACTCCCAATACTGAGCTGCCAAATCGTTCTACGTTCTCATCAGTCCCACAAGCACCCCCGCTTCATCATCACCAGCAACAGCTTCAACCATCACTCTCTGCTAGTATTACCAACTCTGGTTTGTCCACCCCTCCTAGTAACCTTAATCTCTCGCCTTCAAATTTCAGTTCATCACTATCCAGTCTCCCACCACCACCACCACCACCACCACAGCAGCAGCAACAACAACAACAACAAAGTCTCTACAACATGCCCAACTTCAACTATGGTTATATGCTACCTCAAACCATGATGATGTCCAACAACGGAACTTCGTCAACCGGCAATTCAGGCTATCATCCACTTGCCAATACTTCTTCAGTCATGAATCAGCCCCTAATGAAGAATAACCATCTGGGCAAAAATCCCTCAGGGACCAATTTACCAAGCAGCAACAACACAGACCCAAACCTGACTTCACTGCAGCAGGTTCACCCATCAAGTTCCTTACTCTCACCCCCAGATCACCACCCTCATCCACTTCACCAGCAGCTTAATGAGCCAAATGATTTGGCCAAACAACCACCAAATATTGGACTGGGCCCATCTCCCATCTTGACGCTTCCTAGCCTTTCAATGAGCCCTGATCTTACTCACCCAACATCCAATCAAATCTAAGCCGGCTGTGTATTTGCCAAAGATACACACAAAGGCACTGGTTTTATGCATTGACATTCTCTCTCTTTATCAAAACAAAAAAGCTCCACTCGTTTCAAATTGGATTTTACATTATAAAGGAGTTGCTGTTTAACCAAAAATATAACAAAATATTCTGCACATTTCTCTCTCTCTCTCTCTGAACTGTCAGAGAAGCAATAAGGAAAAGGTTTTCTTTTTTTTTTCTTTTTCTTTTTTTTTTTTTTTTTTTTTTTTTTTTTTTTTTTGCAACATTACATAAACTGTTGATAAAAAGTACATTGAATCCCTGGCCACATTTGGATAGACACATTATGGAAACCTGTTCAGCATCTATTCTCCACTTTATAAAAAAGAAAAAGAAAAAATGGGCATAAAAATTGAATGGAGTAAAAAAAATAATAATAATAATAAACATTGTGTGTGTTTGTGTGGGTGCTTAACTACTTTGCTTTATTTCTTTTCTTTTTCTCATTTTTTTGTTTTTAATCAGAAAATATTTAAATTTATTATTTATTTTCATTTTACATTTTAAAAGTTTTTCTCTTTAAACTTTTTTTTTTTTTTTTTTGAAAAACAAAAAAAGAAATTGATTTTTCCAAAAATTTTTGAAGTAATTACATAATGAAACAGATATATCTTAAAAATTTAAATACGTTTTGTGGCAAAAAAAAGAAAAAACAAAGTTGTTTCTTAATGACGTAATCTCATGATGATAAACAATTAATAAGAGAAAAAATTGTTTCTATTCATGCGCAGTTAATCAGTATAGTGCAGAGATTAACTTGGTAAATAAACCTATTTCAAGTAACACATGCTTTCAATATAAATCATCTAGATTTTCATCAGTCCCCACCCTCCTCTTTGGCATCTAATCAACAGTCTGATTAGCATGTAACATATTTGATTCCATTACTCACCTGATTTTGTGCGGTAGGGTTTAATTGCTTTCCATTACCAGTTGCAACATATATTCTAGTTAACTAAGTTTAGCTATGTTAAGGCTGAATTTACTGATAGACATATCTTGTCTACAAATAAAAAAAAAAAAAAGGAAACAGTAAATCGATATTAAAGAATTTCCCATGTCTAATACGCTTGTATTAAACTTGTATTCTATAAACTTTGTTGTAAATTACAAATGCATCATCTTACAACAATAAGTACAATATTAACAAATGCTCCAGTTTCTATACAAGTTGAATGGCAAGTCCTGAACGTAATCACTTCTGTTAGATTTTAAGTGTGTGTGTTTTTTAATTTTTTATATATATATATATATATATATATATATATATATATATATATATATATATATATATATATTGGTCTTTATAAAATAAGTTTTTTTTTTTTTTTAACTAACCATTTTCCAATTTTGTTGAAAGGATAAATATAAGGAAAACAAAAATATTTTTAATAAAAAGAAAACACAAACCACCAAAACAAACAACAGAAAAAGTTTTAAATTTTGGGGTGACTGTTAATATTCTCAATATCAAGCCTTAAAATATGTCAAAGAACAATAACATATTAATTATTCCAATAATCCTATTATCTGGTTGACACTCCTCCCTAGTTTTTTGTGCAGGAGTAGGTTTATCGCTTGTTTCCTGTTCCTTCTAAAGTCTACTTCAAATCTATATTTCTAACATCTCTGCCTAAACTCTGAAATTTTATTTACTATGTATTTATTTTCTTCAATTGGAGTAGATAGTTTTGCCTATTGCCTGGCTCACACTCCTCCCCTGCCTTTTGAACAGAAGTAGAGGCTTATCCCTTGCTTTCTGTTTAGGTTTGGGTTTCCAGTTCTTTTTAAAGTCTTTCATTCTCTTTCACTCCCAGTAGCCCCTTGCATCTAAGTAACATTATCTCCTTGCTTGTGGTGAATTGATTAAAATGAAAACAAAAATTGTCAAATCTCATACAATATCAAGACAGTAAGTTCACATTTCTCAGACTATGGTTCTTTAGGTAAGTATTTATGATTAAGATGTCCATATATTTTATATAAAATGCACTGACATCCATTCTTAAATTTCTAAATATATTCCTAACTTCATGCATAATTTCAACCACCCTTTTCGTTTAATTGAAGACTCAAGTACATGTGTATTATTTCATTGTCATACATTTTAAGGAAACAGTTTCTAAAAGATTATAAATTTGGCAAACTGATTTAAACTTCCAATCAGGCTGATGTCACTTCTCTTCTGTTACTCATAGATAAGGTATTAATTTTTTTTATTATTAATCTTTATTCCATCACTAGTGATCTTGTCTTTCGTTTTCTTGTTTTTATGAATCACAAGGCTAGCGTGTCAATTGATGTCATGCTTAATCTCAGTCAGTCCTTAGATCTCAATTGTTAAATCCCTTAAATCCTGGATGAATTATTGAAAAAATTCTGAATATATAATGTTAGTGCAATTGATATCTCTGAAGAAAAAAAAAAACATTGAAAATTATTTCTTACAGGTTAGTTTTATCGGGCAATAAATTGATTTCGCTTTCAAGTGATACCAAATTTAACCTCTTTGGTATTACTGGATATGAGATATGGTTTTGGAAATCTACAAATTTTACAAAGTTGTAGATTTCTAGTCCTATGTGACAGATGTTAACACTGTATTGAAATACATTGTATTCAGGTGCTCCCACACTCTGTCTGCCTGAAATTTTCAGGTGGATTAAGGTACTTCTGACTTTAAAGGGTTAATAAGTAAATGATTGCTTGCATGAACATTTTCCAGTTTAGAAAATTCAGATTTTGATTCCAGTTATTCATTTTGCCTTTGAAATTGTCTTTGGACAGATTCTATTATGATCATATATGAAACATTTCTCAATTTATGTCTCTTCTCTCATAGAAGTCACAGAAATAAGAATTTCTTTTACTTTTTATTCTTCTGTATCTCAAAGTTGAAAGTTTTAACTTGTGTATAGCAGACAATGTTAGTTTTGGGTGTTGCAGCTATCAAGGGTTGCTACACATTAAGAACGGTTAATTATAACCAATATTTTCATTTCAGCCTCTATATGATTTCATCAATAAAAACAATCAGTATGAAATCCTTTGAAGGACAAAGAACATTGCATAATATATAAGACAAAAGGAAAACTTTTCTTTACTGATGTTTCATCCTCTGCTGGCCTTTATCAAGGCAAATGTAAGGAATTTTATTTTGCAACATATATTTATAAACTGAAGTTAAAAAAAAAAAAAAAATTGTTAGGTTTTCAAAGTTTTTTTAAATTTAAGAGCACTCTTAAATAACCTTAAGGCAAATTGTCAAAGTCAAGGATAGCCTTTCCTCCTTAACCCAAAGAATATTTATGAACATTCTTAAATTTAAAAACTTTTGAAAACTCTTGATATTTTTACTTCTTCATAAATACATGTTGGAAAATAAAATCCTTACATTTGCCTTGATAAAGTCAACCAGGGAACAAAACACATTGGTAAAGAAAAGTTTTTCTTTTAGCTTTATTCATATTGTCTTTTTACAGATATATTTTATTTATATTTGAAATTTGCAAGCTTACACACGCACATGCTGCAATAATTCAGTTAGATTAATATAGGTGTGTTTTTTTTATTTTTTATTTTTTTCTCTCCCCTTTGTTTATCCCAATTAAAAATAACAAAATTGAGAAATAATCAGCTTTTATATACCATTCTCTTTATATAAACAAATAACAATAATAGTTTATGCCTAACAAAACCTGTTGACTAGCTAATTATAGCTGGATAACACATCAAACAAGCAGGATTCTGTAAAGAAGTGTGTTCAATTTAGAATACACAAATAAAATGTTCAACATCTTGAAGTTTCAAATTTGAGAATGTCTGAATTTTTACTTATCTATTCTCTTTATAAAAAATATATATATATATATATATATATATATATATATATATATATATATATATGGCACTGAGGAGTAAGAGTTCATTTCATGCATAAACACAAGATTGTGTACAAGCATGAAATGCTGTTGTCACTCACTGTTGACCTTCATCTCCACTTCTATACTTACACCTGCTGTATCTGTTATTAAGCATTTTCACCCATAAATATAGAAAACCATAAAACACACACACACATATTGTTAAATATAACAGAGAATGGATGTCTATTATGTTTGATCATGAGCCATTCTAAGCTTTGTATAGTGGCTTTAGTTTTGGAAGTAAATGAAGATAAAAACTATCCAACATTTGGACGTTCTTTTTTTTATCATTATTATTATACTGTTCCTCGATTTAAGCTTTCAGCTGACATGAGCCATCATCATCTTCCAAAGCTAAAGACACTATACTTAGAACGGCTCAGGATCAAACATAATAGATATTCGTTTTCTGTTATATTTAACAATATATGATCTGCTGCCCCAATACATGATCTGCTGCCCCAATACACTATATATATATATATATATATATATATATATATATATATATACATACACACACACACACACACACACACTGTATAACAAAATGGAAACGTTTACTTGTCGTGTTTTGTCCTTTAGGGTTTCATCAGACTAAATTTTTTATGTTAGTAGGATTACACAAATTTAGTCCAATCAAGTCATGATGAGTGAAATGTATCACAAGTAAACTTTTTCTTTTCCACTTTGTCATACCATTTTCCCAATACTGTACTTGATATATAAAAATATATCATTCTCTCTCTCATATATATATATATATATATATATATATATATATATATATATATATATATATATATATAATATTCAGGTATTTTTCTTTCTTTATATCTCATTCTTGTGGCCACATCATATCTAATATTTATTAGTTCATTTCATACCATAATTATTTTTGTATATTGTTCTCACACCTAAGGATGGCTTAAAGTATTAATCCTAAATTAAACACTTTGTTTTGTTTTTTCTGTTTTCCTTTTCTTTTCCTTTTTTTTTTTTTTTTTTTTTTTTAAATATTTTCTCAA